CAGGAAGCCTTTCCCTATCAATCCAACTCATTCCTCTCTCTTTCTTTTGTGAATTAGAGTTTTACTTAAAATTAGCACCGTAAGAGAGAACATGTGTTTGTACACCCTCTTGCCCTTTAATCACTTCAAGTATCTTGTTCCTTTAAGTTGACTCATTCACATCTTTTTTCTACTGTTTCCCTGCCCGGTCTGGGTATTGTAAAGCCTGGCTAGATTCTAGTCCCAGTCTTCTCACTAATGAGCTGCATGACCTAGAGTTAGTCACAACCTCGCTGAGCCTCATCTTCCTACCTTTGAGGATTTCTGTGAAAACACAGTAAACTTTATAACACAATATATGAATGTAAGGTATTATTGCTGAAGACATTTGAACTAAAGTGCTTCTGCCTTTCACATCCTACTTAGTGTATGATTCTATGTAAGAAATAGCTATCACTGCTGCTTGCTTCACACTAAGGTCCTCAGCAAAGGTTAACAGGATTAGAAGAAGAATAATGCACAACTGTTAAAGATGGTGCCAGATTGGAGGGGGTCTATATGCAGCTGATTCAGGGGCTCTCCTTGGAAACTACCAGGTGATTCCGGGCTTGCTCATTTTTAAAGCTTCCATCTTTCTGAATGTTTCTTCATGTAAATGATCTGTGTCAATGCTATGAAAAACAAAAAGAATCTTGTGTCAAGTCAAGCCAACAGATGCCTTCGCTAGTTTTCCTATCCTCGAGGATAAGATTCCCATTCTACTTGCTCCGTAGCACCACTCAGTTACTTCACCCACTCAGCCATCTACCTCCTCCCTCAGCCTTGGCTCCTCTCCTTGAGAAAATGCTTCACTTCCTCTTGGACTCTCACTCTCGTCCCTCTCTGCCTTTGCCCAAGGCTCTGCTGCATTAGCCCATTAGTTCCTGCTCCTGTATATGTAACCTCTCCCTCTCTATGGGCTCCTTTCATTCAGCCTACAAATTTGCCTATCCTCAACAAGCCAAGAAGGAAAAAGAACAACTCCCTCCTTCCTGCAGTTCCACAAGTTCTCCCAGCTACAGCCCCACATCTCTTCTCCTTTTCACAAACTTACTTACTTACTCATTCATTCATTCATTCGTTTATGAGAGCTAGTGAGCGAGCACGAGCAGGGGGGAGCAGACTCCCCGCTGAGCAGGGAGCCCGGTGCAGGGCTCGATCCCGGGACTCTGAGATCATGACCTGAGGCCGAAGGCCGACGCTTCACTGACTGAGCCACCCAGGCGCCCCCTTTTCACAAACTTCTTGAAAGATTAGTCTCTGCTCCTTCTCCTCTTCCTCATCTCCAATCTCTTCAAGTCAGAGCAGTCTGGTTTCCAGCCCCACCACACCACTGAAACAGCTCTTGACAGCCTCACCTATGGCCTCCCAATGACTAAATCCAATGGATATACGTTTCAGTACTCATCCTTTTGGCCCTCTCTGCTGCATTGGACACTGTTGAGTACTTCTTCCTTGAAACTCACTTTTCCCATAGCTTCCAGGACACCATTTCTCTCCTGGTTTACTCCATGGGTTTTCCTTTCCATACCCACCTCTTAAAAGTTGGTATTGCCCAAGGTTAATTCCCCAGAGATGTTCCTCAGAGGTTCTTCTCTTCTCACTCTCCCTAGAGGAACTCATCCATTGGCATGGCTTCAGCTATCATCTCCGGGGCACACTCCTATATCCAACGGCCCGCCTACTAGAAAACTTCCCACAGTGTCCAGCAAGTACTTCAAACTCCACATGTGTGTCCCCAGTTAAAACCCATTGACTACAAAAGAAGGTACAAGCTCTTTCAAGTGTGTAGTGAGGTTAAGATTTTAGTTTTTAATGGATAGATGCTAATCTTTATCTAGCAAAGTGAATGAGTAACCTTGCTAAATATGAAATTGTAGGGTAAGTAGATACTTAATGCCATGGAAGTGTAACGAGACCTTGAGAATTTTTTTTGAGTGACTTAGCAAAGGCTGCCTTACCTCTTGATGTGTAGAGCTCACTGTTAGGCAAGAGGTGGGCCAATACGCTTAGGAAGCCCAGAGGTCTTCTGGGAATTAAGAGACCAATTACTCTCAACCCCGAATGAGGAACATGCATCAGGGTGAGTTAGGGGCCTTTATCCAAGGCCCAGTGCCTGGGAAAGGTACCAAGGCCCATAAAATAAAATTATCTTGATGAAAGAAAAAGGCTCAAGTGGGGCCCCTGACCCAACTCAGGGGCCTACACCTTTCTGGGGCAAGGGCACGTCTCATATATATATACACCTGTGGTTGATTCCAGGAGCTCCTCTAGACCCAACCACCCTGACACATATAATACTTTAGGGAACAATAGTTGAATGTTTATGTGTGGACTAATATATCTGTAACCTCAGAGCCCAAGTATGATGGCACTGCAGGGCTAGCAGGGATCCAGACCAGCCAGGGCATCACTGTCTAGTAACCAAACTTCTGTGGGACTGGTTAGGGTCAGTTCTTAAGATCAGCTCCCTGTGGCAGTGAGAAACAGAGCAGCAGTGGACTGGCTCTCCAACCAACTCTGGAAGCAAAACTGGCTCTATCTTGGGGACCAGTTCTGGAAAGATGAGGAGAGGCCTCGAAATGGACCACTACTAGAGTATGTGAGAGAAAGAGAGCAACGACTGAGTTTTCACTCAGAATTCTGCTAACAGGTCTTACTAACCACATATGGCATACAAGGCCTTGCCTACCCCCTTAGTCTTACTTCTTGACACACCCTGTTTTGTACTTTATGCTCCAGCAAGAGCAAACTCCTCGGATATTTCCCACCCTTTTCCCCATCAAGTACCATAAACCATGCAGTTTATTGTCTGGCTACCTTGTTCATGCTATCTCCTGAGCGAGGGCTACCCTCCTTCATCTTTACCCCCATTTCTCCTGGCTATTAATAGTCCTGAGACTTAACTCAGGTGGTCCTTCCTCCAAGAAGCTTTCCCTGACCCTCTTGGGCTGGGTGAGTTGTCTCCTGCCAGGACTCCCTTAAGACCACATGCTCGCCCTATTGTATTCTTCAGTTTATGTGCCTGTCTCTACCACTAAGCCCCCTAGCCCCTGAAGAGCATAGACTGTCTTATGTCTTATTTACTCTTGTCTCCTAGCACCTGGCACACTTGCCTAGCACATAGCAGATATTCAGCAAGAATTTGTGGAATGAATGAAAGTGAGCTCTGCCACTCTAAGGCCACAGCCTCTTCTATTCCTTGACCTTCTGAATGTCTAGACACTCAGTCTTTATTGAACATGTCATTAACTGTCTCCATTCCTTGCCTCCAGATGCTCTAAATTACTAATTGGTCTTCTATATGTATTTACTGTATGCAAAGCTGAGCCAGGAACTTTATGGTGGGGGGGAGAATACAATGAGGAATAAGATTCAGCCCCACACTCCAGCAACTCTTAGAAAATAACCTTCTTCCTCCAGTCTTTGCAATTTCCAGCTGAGACTCCCCCTTTTAGAAGGCCCTCCTGGAATTACACCCCCTTTCAATCCCACCACAACATTAAATCATCCATAATTTCCTTTCACCTTACTTGGGTAAGTATATATTTCTATTAATTACAGTTTGTCTTACATATACCCTAACAATCAAAATTGATTTGAGGTCAGTGAATGGTGTCTATTCTGTGTGTGTGTGTCCTTTATTTTGTATTCTCAGCTATTATTGCACACTGTTATCAACTTGTCGACTGACAAGTTATAAGGGTTTGAAGGTTGTCCTGAAAACACAATGGAAGCACATTGGTTAAAAGGCAAAGAGCAAGAGATACAGGAAACAATGTAATAATTTACAGTAAAAAGCAAATATGGCATGCCATCACAAAATAACTTCTCCTCGCTGTCACTTAAGACCTTTGCTGAAGCATACACACTATAGAGCGCTACCACATTAAATTACTCAGTATTGGAAGAGACATTGGGATTGATCATTAAGCTTATTCCAACCTGTTGACAGTCTAGACTGCAGTTACCTCTTTTGAGAAAGACACCACGGAGTGGAGGTCCCTAAATCTCTGAGGCTCATCATGTCGTGAATGATTCTCTCTTTCTGGGCAGTAATCACCACACTTTCAAGCCTTTGAAACTAACACACTTCACTTTGCTAGTAGAGAACCAGCTTCTCTTTCAGCCAGACTTGTAATCAGGCTTTTGTGTTGTTTTCATTTACACTTCAATCCGTCAAATTGGCTTTGAAATGTGGAATTTTTGCACTCGGCCTTTATTTTCCATTATGTGTTCCAGTTCTGAATGCCAGAAATGAATGGCCATTTGGTCACTGGTTAGCTGCCAACACAGCATAGCTGTATCCTAATTAAGAGCGACTTCGTGTGTCATGCCAGCCTGCTGAGCTGGCAGATGGACATTGACCAGAAAGGGTCAAGACCTCCACTTCCTATAATTGCATCATTACAGCTTCATTTCCTTGAGTCTTGAAGACTCTCAAATGTAAATATTAATGCCCCTGGCAAGTATGAGAAGAGAAAAGGGAAAGAATCTAACATTCATGGAGCACCACCTATGTGCCAAAGGTTGTGCTAGGTACATTTATAACTGAAGTTTCACTTCATTCAATCCCCCTGTTAACACCAGATAGTCAGGTACTAGCATTAGCTCCATTTTACAGACACGGATACTAAAGTTCAGGGAGGTTAAGTAAGCATGGTTATGTAGCTAGTGACGCTAAACCCAGTATTGAAGCCAGACCTAACAGAATCTAGATCTGGTACTCTTCTTCCATGCTGCTTCTCTTAGCAATGAGATCCAGTGCTGCCTGTTCGCTGCCTCTAGCCCTGTCCCTGTGTCCAAGGAGGAGGCCTACTGGTCATTTCACTTACTTTGATATTTTGCCTAGGCATGGCTTGCCCTCAGTTTTTCTTCTTTCCTCACTGCAATGGGCTATGATCAAACCCCACATGTCTATCTTGACCCCCTCCCTCCCACCTCCCCCGCCATAGTAAGTTACTAGAATGTCTGTAGCTTACACATCGGCTGAATCAGTGCCTCATACAGCATTTGCACTCCAAAATCCTTGAGGTCGTTTCCACTTAGGTCTAGCGATGTTAGGTTCTCATTTCTGTTGAGGACAGAGGCAAGAGCTCCATGGCACGCATCTGTGAGATGACATTCTGCTAACCTATGGGGAATTGGGGATTCAAGAAAGTTCCACAATGACCCTCCATCTCATATAGAATCTGGAACAAGAGCCCAGTGAGCAAAGAGTCACTGTGCACTTGCCACAAGGTCTGCGGTTTGCAAGAGGGGTGTTTCAGCCCTTCACACAGCACCTACATACCCTTGTCCCCTAAGGCATTATCACCGAGGTCAAGGTCTCTTAGGTACTCATTGGTGTAGAGTGCACTGCACAAATCCTGACAACACTCTCCAGTCAGGCAGCAGGTCCACAATCTGCCAGGAAGTAAGGTAGAGAAGGCTGGCATCATTTCATCTGCACTGAGTTACTTTAGGAATTCTGTTGGCCCACTAGAAAAACACATTAGAAACTCAGAGTATCGTGTGAAAAAAAAATCCCTTGGGCCAGGGCCAAGCAGAGATTGTGGAGAGGGGAACATTTATACTCCCTAAATTATTTGGTTCTTCATTTATTGCTTCCTTGGAGATTCGATCACCAGGCCAAAAAATACTCATTTAATTTTAAGAGTTGCTGAAACATCAGGAAACTCTGCCTGTGGCTATAGTCCATGATACTTATGCCAGATCCTTTAACTGACAGTCAGGCTGTTTTAATCCTTTGCACAGCAATTTCAGTCCCAAGTCTTCAATTTTGTTATTAATTAGAAGCAGCCTTGTCAGGCTCTGGGTGGAGCTCAGGACTTGGGCAAGGGACTCACGACAAGCTGCAGAAAGGGAACATTCAGAAAGCCTGGAGGAATGGGGATACCAAGGTGGCCGTTAACCATGGAGTCCCACTGAATCTCAAGTGCCAAGGCCCGTGAGAACAAGGATAAGCACTTACACAAGAGTCTTGAGAATACCCTTTGCATGCTGCAGACCTTCACAGAGATGTGGTACTCCTGTGTCCCCCAGGGCATTGGCAAACACAAACAGCTCTTTTAAAGGCTGACTCACTTGCAAGAAAGAAGAGAGCTCCATACAGCTAGCATCTGTTAGCTACTCAAGCTACCAAGAAAAGGAGAAGTAAAATCAGCCACTGCTGTCTCTTAGCTTTCTGAGAATGTTTTCCTAGCCTCCCTTCAAGTTCCAGCTCCTGGCACACCTCCTTCACAAAGCCACTTCCTGAGGTCTCCAGCCCACAGTGACCTCCTACCTTTCCCTGGGCTCATCTGGCATTTCTAAATGATTCCACAGTGTTGGGCACTTCATTACACATTGAATTGTGTTGTTCTCCAATTGGTTCATATCTGTGTGTCCTAAAGGGCAGCCTTGTCACTTGTCCTTCTGATAACTCTACCCACATCTAGGGCTGTGTTGGGTGCATTGTAAATATTCTTAATATTTAAGTAGTGTCATTCCTGTAAACAGGCAAGATGGCTGTATACTGGAAAGAGCAGGAGATGTGGAGACAGATTTTGGAGTCACATTCTGACTATACCACTTTTGAGTGGTGTGACCTTGGACAAGTCACGTTTCCCTGTGATCTTCAGTTTCCTCATCTGTACAATGGGGATTAAAAATCCATTTTATATGGTTATTGGAAGGAATGAATTGGGTGAAACAACTTCTGCCAAGCCCAAGCACAGATCCAGGCACATAAGCAGGCATTTGCCAAGTTCAATAGTCCTAAGATGATGCCAGACAGTTCTAAGAAACTTACTCTAGCTTCTCCACTTTACCATTGGAATGTCTGAGACCTTCACAAAGATACTTCACCCCTGTGTCCCCCAGGGGATTTTTCACTCAGGTCCAGCTCAGTGAGGTTTGGATTGCAAATGAGAACAGAGGCAAGATCCTTGCAAACAACCTCTGAGCTTTCAGGGAGAAAGCTAGCACACAACCTGGAGAGAAAGAGAGATGAACAGAGACAGAACTGGCTGCTTTATTGTCCTACTCACCCCCTACCCACAGTACCTCATGAGCAAAGAAAATAAAGGCCCATCTATACAAGACTGCCAACCTTGATAATGTCAAAGCCTCCAGGGGAGAATCGTACTTTGCTCCCACAACACTGTGTCCCCCAGTGGCAACTCAGTAAGTGTTGACTGCCCCTCCAAAAAAGTGTTGGGAGGAAATATCAAGATGACCTAATCTCATTTTAACTCCCTGCATGAATTTAGAATTCTATCTCATAGCTTTGTTCAAATCCCATGGGGGAAATGGCATAATATCTTTAATAAGCTTTATAGTCAAAAGATCTAAAAAGTTCATTATTTATTAATTTTCCATCCTTAGAGATCCAGTCCACCGTCATCATCCATGTAATATTTCTTCTTTGGGACAAAGAGTGGTTTTTACCGACCTTCCTGTCTTCTTAATCTTTGTTTCTCCATATTGAGTAGTCTAATTTCTTGAATCCCATCAACTTTTTCTTCCATCACTTTCAAGAATTTCTATGATATATACTACAATCTTTGAGTCCTCAATTTTCTCTTGAGTTACCAGGCTCCAACCTTAGCCTTGAAGAGGGCTCATTAGTACACATGTCTATATCTCCCCAATTTAGAAATTTTAAAAAGAGGCATTTGGGGGGAAAAAAGGAGTTTCAAAGTGAATTTTAGAAAGCTTTAATGTTGGGCACCTGGGTGGCTCAGTTGGTTAAGCGACTGCCTTCGGCTCAGGTCATGATCCTGGAGTCCCGGGATGGAGTCCCGGGATCGAGTCCCGCATCGGGCTCCCTGCTCGGCGGGGAGTCTGCTTCTCCCTCTCCCACTCCCCGTTTGTGTTCCCTCTCTCGCTGTGTCTTTCTCTGTCAAATAAATAAATAAAATCTTTAAAAAAAAAAAAAGAAAAAAAGAAAGCTTTAATGTTAAAGGGCTTTTGCTTTTAAAAACCCCACATATGGGGCGCCTGGGTGGCTCAGTCGGTTAAGCGTCCGACTCTTGATCTCAGCTCAGGTCTTGATCCCAGGGTCATGAGTTCAAACCCTGCACTGAGCTCCACTGGAGCTCAGTGTGAAGTCTACTTTAAAAAAAAATAAATAAACCCACATATATATTGCGATGGTTAATTGTGTCACATTGGCTAAGTCATATATCCAGATATTTGGTCAAAAATTATTCTAGATGTATCTGGGAAGGTATTTTTTAAATGAGATTAACATTTCAATCAGGGACTTTGGGTAAAGTAATTTACCCTCCATAATTTGGGTGGGCCTTGCCTAATCAGTTGAAATGCTTTATAGAAATAGACTGACCTCCCGGGGAAGAAGAGAGAATTCTCACAAGCAGAATGCCTTTGGACTTGAACGGCAACATGAGCTTTTCCCTGTGTCTCCAGCCTGTTGGCCTACCTTGCAAATATTGAACTTGACAGCCACCCTAATCCACATGAGCCAATTCCTTAAAATAAATCTCTATACAGTTGACCCCTGAACAACACAGGTTTGAACTGCATGGGTTCACTTAAACACGAATTTTTTTTATAAATACCATACAGTAGTGTAAATGTATTTTCTCTTCCTTATGATTTTCTTAGTAATATTTTCTTTTCTCCAGCTTACTTTCTTACAAGAATACGGTATATAGTACATATCATATACAGAATATGTGTCAGTCAACTGTTCAGGTTATCAGTAAGGCTTCCAGTCAACAGCAGGCTATTAGTAGTTAAGCTTTTGGAGGGTCAAAAGTTATACGTGGATTTCCGACTATGGGGGGTGGGGTTGGAACCCCAACCCCCGTGCCGTTCAAGGGTCAACTGTATATTTATATACATCTTATTTGTTCTGTTTCTCTGGACAACCCTAATACATATACGATAAACTTTTTTATTAAAATCATTACCATGGACTTTGAAGTCAGATACATGTGGGTTCTGAATTGTACCTTGGCCATGTTATTTGGTCTTATGACCTTGGGTCCCTATTTCCTCATCTGCTAAAACAGAGATAATAATCTGAAACCTCTCAGAGCTGTTTTACAATTAAAGGAAATCACAGATACAAAGCAGTCAGCACAATGCTCAGCACAAAGTGATTGTTCAAAAAGTATGGGTTATTATTATAGTCATTGATGTTGTTGTCACCCACAAAGAAAATTCTTTTCCTAAACTTGTTGCACAGGAACAATTTTAGAGACTGTCACTTTTATTCTTCCTCTCCATGATTCTTCAAAATGTGTTTTGATCACACAACATCCATCTTGAGTTGCATATGTAAATTTTGTTTCTTGCAGCAAGGAAACTAATAGTTACAACTTACTTGAGCTTCTGTAATTTGCAATTTGGATCTTTTAAGCCTTCACAAAGCAATTTCAAAGCTGAAGCTTCCAATTTGGTTTCACTGAATTCCAGATCAGTGAGCCACCGACTGGTACTGGAACAACTGCCAGTGCCCCACAAGAAGCAGGAGAGATAAGGCGTCAGTACAACCTTCAGAGAATGACCTCATTATCTTGTGCATGTTTTGCCCTCCCCCCCCATACAAACAGAAATTGACCAAAAATGATACGAACACAGACAACAAATTCTCCTGCTATCAGTTACCTCAATGTCTGTAAGATACAGTTTGGCTGTTTTAATCCTTCACACAGAAGCTTCATTCCTGAATCTTCCAGGGTATTTTTTACAAACTCTGTATCTGTCAAATACTGGTTAGTTTCAAATGCTAAAGAGAGGTCCCTACCACAAGAAGCTATGAGGTGGCAGAAAATCAGTCTGTGTGGAGAAAAAGACATTTCAGAGAAGCAAGAAAATAGGACTCTCTTTAAAGGTATCTGTTTGTACCTTACTGATGTAATGAATTCTTTCAATACGCTCAACAATTAATTTATTGGGTGCTTACCACTACGCCAGATGCTGAAAACACAAAAATAATTAAGACCCAGACCTGGTCTTGAAAGGCACTGCAAGTGGTATGCATACGGTATCATGGGGACACAGAAAGGTAGCACAATTCTGCCTAGCTTGGGGTGGCATTTGGAGGACCAAGAAATACTTACAAGAGAAAGAAATATTTGAGTGCTGTTGTGAAAGGGGAAGAGAAACTGAACAGGAGTTAGGTGGATGAAGAGAATGGGAGCAGGGAGAACAGGAGGAGCCCAGGGACATGGGGCACTCATGGAGCAGCCTGGGCAAAGGCTGGAAGACAAGTGAGAGGATGCTTTGTTTGAGAACCTGCCAATTGCAGCTGACCCTTGAACAACTCAGGGGTTAGGGGTTCTGACCTCCACACAGCTGAAAATCTGCCTATAACTTTTGACTTCCCCAAAACTTAACTGATAATAGCCTACTACTGACCAGAAGCCTTAACAGTAAAATAGTCAACTAACATATATCTGAAGGTTATATGTATTACATACTGTATTCTTACAATAATGAAGTAAGCTGGAGAAAAAATGTTTTCTTTAATTAAGAAAATCATAAGGAAGAGAAAATACATTTATAGTACTGTACTGAATTTATTTTAAAAATCCACATATACGTGGACCTCCACCGTTCAAATCCTGTGTTGTTCAAGGGTCAACTGTATTTACTATGGCCTATATTAAAAGACTAGAAGGATAGGGGCGCCTGGGTGGCTCAGTTGGTTAAGCGACTGCCTTCGGCTCAGGTCATGATCCTGGAGTCCCTGGATCGAGTCCTGCATCAGGCTCCCTGCTTGGCGGGGAGTCTGCTTCTCCCTCTGACCCTCCCCTCTCTCATGTGCTCTCTGTCTCTCTCATTCTCTCTGTCTCAAATAAATAAATAAAATCTTTAAAAAAAAAAAAAAGACTAGAAGGATATATATCAAATTATCAATAGGAGTCATCTTTTAGGTTGGGGAAGGGCAAGATTATAGAGATGCATTCACCTTATAGATATTTAAAAATTATTTACAATGATAAGTTATCAAAAAATAGTTAAAAAATTTTTTTAAAACACATGATTATTATAAATAATTTCTATAATAGAGAAAAATATAAAGTTTTTTAGTACTATATGCCTACCACCCCAAAATAACCACTGTTAACATTTTGGTACATGACTTTTCAGATTTTCAATGCATGCATACATATAGAAATATATGTTTTTGTAACAAATGCAATCATAGAAAGATGTATTTTAAAAAGATAAAAACTTTTTCCAAACCTTCTCTCCAGTTCCACTTCCCAGAGATAACCAATGTTAAGAGTCTAGTGTATACCCCCCCACTCCCTTCTTCAAGATCATAGAAACATACACATACACACACAACACAATTTGTATATTTTACAAAAATGCGATCATAGAAAACATTACATCAACTTTACATGCACTTTGTTACTCAGTACTCATGGTAAGCCCATAGGTAGAAACTAAGATTCAATTATAGAGGAAGGTCATCTAGTAAGTGGCAAAATAGGATTAAACCTTAAGTCTGTCTGGTTTTTCCAGTAGGCTTCAGAAAGCCATTGGAGGTTTAAACTGACATGCTCAGATCCCTCTGACGTCAGGGTAGGCAGGAGACAGACCGGATATCAGAGGGCTGCAGTGGTAAGAAGATATACAGGTAGGGGGAGCTGGATTAGGGTGGCTGGGGTGTGAAGGTGGACAGATTCGAGACATGGTTTCGGGATGAAATGGCCAGAATTTAAGACGGTTTAGGGTGACTGTAATGTTCAGTGCTGAGCCAATGGGCGACGAAGCTGTTCCCAGGCTCCACCCTCTTCCTCCGAAGGGTATGGAAAGCCAAGGAGGGTTCTAGAACATTCCATCTCTAGGACACAAGGGCCCCCTGGCGTGGGACAAACCATTATGGAGGGGGGTGAAACTTCCTGTACTCGATTATGAATACTTCACGTTCTCGATTCTAAGTCTTTTTTAACCACTCTTGTTGTTTCCCGCCGTCAACGACTTTCAGCAATGTAGCGGGTTCTTTTAGGTCCTGGACTTTGGGAGGAACCTTTCTCACAAATTCCCTCCCACCCCCACTGTCTCTGGAAGTTGGAACAGTCCTAGAGTAAAACCCTCGAGGGTTGGTCCCAAGACTTCCTTTTCCCCCGGAGTCCTCGGAGGGAAAGGTGCGCTCTTTGGGCTTAGTCGGTAGGCGTAGTTAGCTGGCACCCTATCTGGCCCCAGCATTAGAGGTGAGGTTTGGTAGGAGGTGTACGGGGGTGGGGCAAGCCAGTCAGAGGGCCTTTAAGAGGGTCTGAGGGGGGAAGGGAAAGGGCGGGGCAGCAGGTGGGTGGAGACTGAGGGCGGCGTGTTGGGGGGGCCGGGGTGAGGGACAGGGGACAAGTGGGGGGGGGCGGGGGACAAGTGGGGGGCGGGGGGCAAGTGGGGGGGCGGGGGCAAGTGGGAGGGCGGGGGGAAGTGGGGGACGGGGGAAAGTGGGGGGCGGGGGGAAGTGGGGGACGGGGGAAAGTGGGGGACGGGGGGTGAGGGGTCGGCAAGGGGGGCGAGGGGGATCGTGGGGCAGGCGGTGAGGGGGCCAGGGGAGATGGGGGGCCGGGGGGCGGGGAGGGGGCCGGGGGGCGGGGAGGGACCCTGCAGAGTGGACAACTGGTTGATTCATCCCACAGGGACAGCCAGACCCCTAAGGTGCTCAGTCGTCATGTCCTTGAAACCTGACGACCCCAGTGCTGGGTTCCAGCACAACAATGTGGTGGCCTTCATCAATGAGAAGATGGCCGGGCACACGAAAGGCCCCGAGTTCTACCTCGAGAATATATCCCTGTCCTGGGAGGAGGTAGAGAACAAGCTCAGGGCCATCCTGGAGGACAGCGCGGTGCCCAGCGAGGCCAAAGACGCCTGTGCCTGGAGCAGCCTCGCCCTGGGCGTGCGCATTGCCCGCAGGCAGAGCCAGTTATACAAGAACAGGGTACAGTGGCTGCACGATTTTGCCAGACTGCATAAGTCTGCTGCACAGACCTTGGCCACTGACCTAAAGATGCTCACAGCGCAGCAGGAGATGGAGCGCAAGGAGTCAGCCTTCCGGCTGTGGCAGACACAAGCAAACCTGGCGGAGATGCAGAAGGAACGGGACCTCCTGAGGTGGAAGCTCTTCCAGGTTGTAAGATTATCTCTACTTGATCCCCACCCCATCTCCCTGCCCCGTCCCCAGAATGGGTCTCAACCCTGCTCTCCTATCTCCCAACAGCTGGGGTGTACCAGGGAGCGGGGCCAGGCCTCCATGAAGCCAGGCCTGGCCACTGCCAGTGGGGCTGGGACAGAAGGGGCCCATGAGGAGGAGGAATCCCAAGCTGCTGCTACTTTTGCTACTGCTGTTGGTACCACAGGAAGAGGAAGAAGACAGAAGGATACACTGGGGGCAGAAGCCACAAGGGAGCTGGGTGGAGGCCTCATGCACCTGGTTGGAGCCATGGAGCGGAAAAATTACACCACTGGTGGGCAGAGGGAGGGAGATCTCAGGTCAGTGGAAACAGCCATGTTTTATTTCTCTGGGACCCTCAAGCCCGGGCCCACAGTCACACCATCACCCCTCCCTGTCCAGCTCCCTGCCTCATTCACATACTCCTACTCATGCGCCTCATCCCCTTTCCCACCTGCACCCGCACCATTCCCACCAGCAGCAACATTCACAGCAGGAGCTCCATCTCAGACATCTCCCCACCGGCAGCCCTCTGATGTTAGCTTGTGGTCTGATGGGGGGTCCCAGGGAACAGGCCCTCAAGAATCCCAAAGAGACAGGAGAGACTATGAACCCCATCAGCAGAGAAGACCTCCCATGTTTCGCAGGCCTGGGGATTGGGACTGCCCTTGGTGTAAAGCTGTGAATTTTTCACGGAGGGAAATTTGCTTCCGCTGTGGGAGGGGAATCTGGCTGCAAAGCCCTCAGTAATTTTAGAAATGTGAAACCCCTGAACAAAAACATATACCAGTGGGAAATCAATTTTCAAGGTGAGGGAGGAAACTAGGTGGAGTGGGGGGAGGGGATGAGTGGGAGAATGGGGCTAAGGGAGTGGGAGGGAGGTGGGATGGGAAGTGGAGAGGGTATAGATTGGCAGGGAGAAACATGTTTTGATTGATGCCCTTTGTGTTCCAGAGCATTAGCATTCCACACCCCAAAAGTGCTGTAGCTTCTGTTTGTATGTGTCTCCCTCCCCAACCCAAGTATCTGGTAGACCTGAGCAGCCATGTCTATGGCAACCCACCCCTCACCCCACCTAGGCTGTATATGATTGGAGCAGGAGTGGACACCTGACCCATCCTGAGCCAAACAGGTTCTCACACTAGAGAATGTAAACAGAGGCAGATTCCATAGTCAGGGTGGTGTTGGGTAAGGAAACAGTGGGTTATTTGGAGTTGGGGCTGAGGCCACAGCCAAGGCCTGGTCCTGGTTGTCAGGGAGCAGAACTGTGTGCTTTACTGAAGTCAAATGTCTTTTAGAGGATGTCAGAATGAGGCCCCAGGGAGCAGATAAGGCACAGAGAAGCAGCACAGGAGTTGATCCTGCAACCCTAAGAGGTGGAGAAATGGTGGCATGACCACTTTTCCACTTCCTGCGATTGTGCTGCATGAAAATACACTCTACACTGTACTATTCAATGAAAAAATACAACAGCCAGTTCTGTGTGTGTGAAACAAAACCCCCCAAAGTTCTGTAACTCTGCATATGTATGATATGTATATTATAGATTTATATGTGCCTTATGTTATAGATTGATATTTGAAAAAGCAAAGGTCTGGAAAGACATTTAGCAAACAAGGTATTACCTAGGGAGGGTGAGATCATCAGGGTCAGGGGATGGTAAGCAGGAGGTGGGGTGTTGGGGATATAAAGTGGGGTGGGGTCTGGGACAGTAGGGTGGAGGGCTTTTAGATCGTTATGTACTTATGTGTTGTGTAAAATGAAATAATTAAATGCTTACAAAAATAAAAAAGTGAATTTACTGGCTTGGGTAGGATTGGAAAGGCCGCCTCTTCCTCTGGGACAGAAGGGAAGGAGAACAGACACTGATCTATGCGGTGAGGGGTTTGGAAACAAGGGGGCTTGTGCCTTTGTGCTCCTGATGCTAACTGACAAGCTGACAAGACACCTGAGAGTGAGCAAGAAATGAAGGTCAGGCCGGGGGTGGGGAGCTTCTGAGCAATGGCACTTTGGGGAGTAACTACAGGGGTTGGGGGTGAGACATGGAGGGAGAGAAAAAGATCACTGAGCTGCACAGAATGGGATAGGACCCAACAAAGAAAACCAAGGAGGACGACGGTGGGAATCTGGGAGGAGAAGGGGGGAGGGTAGGTCCAGGAGGGGAACCAGACACAAATCTCTTAGATGCTTTAATCTGCCACCTACTCCTGCAGCAAAAATAGCACATACAAAAGGGGAAGAGGCTGGAGGGGCCAGCAGGGATCTGTGCCTGACTCTCTACCCCTTCTAGGTTCGTAGCATATCTTATCATTTGCTGTTCCACTGTGGAGAAGCTGAGCACTAGTTATATTTTGTTTTCAGGTCTGATCAGTGCAGTTTCTAGCAACCCCATCTTTACCTTGCAAATACCTAAGTGTTTAAAGCAAAGTTCAACTTACTTCAGGTCTTTGATTTTACAGTATGGATTATGCCATGCTCGGGAGAGCACGTGTAGCCAAGCAAATTGCACAGCTGGAAGGACCTAAAAGAGATGAAAAAGCAAAAATAATTTACAACAAAATAGTTAAAAACAAAATTTTAAGTAAAAGGTTAATTTTGGCTTCTGTCACCATACTAGTATTCATTCACCTCTTCTAAAATCCTTAAGAGGTATTACCCCATTTTGCAGATAAGGAAATTAAGGCACAAAAAAGATATTTGCCTAAGGTCACATGGTAGGAACAGAACAGAGGTCAGCACTCTGGTCTGTCTGACTTCAAAGCCCAAGCCATGTTACTGTGTGCCAGGCACCAAGGTAAGCACTTTACATAGACAAATCATCTTATCTGGTCCTCAAAACAATGATGGATATTTTATTTTATTTTATTTTATTTTATTTATTTATTTATTTTTAAGATTTTATTTATTTATTTGAGAGAGAGAATGAGATAGAGAGCATGAGAGGGGGGAGGGTCAGAGAGAGAGGCAGACTCCCTGCTGAGCAGGGAGCCCGACGTGGGACTCGATCCCGGGACTCCAGGATCATGACCTGAGCCGAAGGCAGTCGCTTAACCAACTGAACCACCCAGGCGCCCAATGATGGATATTTTAATCACCATTTTGCAGATGCTCAGAGAAGTCAAGTAACTTGCCCAAGCTATCTTTATAATATAACTATTTCTTGGTTGTCAGTACTAATAGAAGAATTAACTATAATTGAAAACTAGAAAAGTTCATGTGGTACTTTTATTTTTAATTATTTTTTTATAACTTTTTTAAAGGTTTTATTTATTTATTTGACAGAGAGATAGCACACGTAGTGGGGAGCAGCAGGGAGAGGGAGAAGCAGGCTTCCCGCCGAGTGGGGAGCCCGATGTGGGGCTCAATCCCAGGACCCTGGGATCATGACCTGAGCTGAAGGCAGATGCTTAAAGACTGAGCCACCCAGGTGCCCCTTCTTTTTAATTTTTTTGAGGAACACCCAAAGAAAACAAAAACAGTAATTCAAAAATATATATGCACCCATATGTTTAGAGCAGTATTATTTACAATAGCCACATCATGGAAGCAACCCAAGTGTCCATCGATGGATGGATAAAGAAGATGTGGCAAATATATACAATGGAATATTACTCAGCCATAAAAAAGAATGAAATCTTGCCATTTTGCAACAACATGGATGGGCCTAGAGGGTATTATGCTTAGTGAAAGCAAACAGAGAAAGACAAATACCACACAATTTCACTCATATGTGGAATTTAACCAATAAATGAACAAAGAAAAAAAGACAAAAACAGACTCTTAAATAGAACAAATTGGTGGTTGCCAGAGGGGAGGTAGGTGGAGGATGGGTGAAACAGATAAAGGGGATTAAGAGTACACTTACCTTAACAAGCACTGAGAAATGTATATAATTATTGAATCACTATACAGTACACCTGAAACTGCATGTTAATTATATTTGAACAACAACAAAAAAAACTAGAAAAGTTCAATAGTAAAATCTCAGTCAACATGCTTATGATAGGAATATTTGGGGTTAAATTTTGAAGAAAGTTTAACCCTCTGATAAAGGCAATAGGGTTAAGATAGGTATGACTCCATTTAAGGCTGATTTTCTGGAAATCTAGAATGAATCAGAAGCCCCTTTTTGTTTCCATCAGTGTTTAAAAATTCTCAATGTATTTGTCCATTATTTTATTTTACAGTATACATCTGGATTGAAACTGTCATGAATTTGTCAAGACACTAGCCAAGGTCCTTGGTAATTCTAAGTCCATGTAACTTCTCTTACCCCTTCCACGCTAATCCCAAACACAACTCTTGCTGCACTTCCCTTCCCCCCCCCCACCTCCCTCAAACACACATATCCCATGCTCATTTCTATCTCTATGCTACTGCCCAATGAGGAAATACAACTATCAGAGAAAAGACTTGGGTTAACTCACTCCCCAAGTACAGCTCTCTGCCCAATCTCTTCTTCTCAAGGTCCCCTACCCCTCAGCTGGTCCCACAACTAAAGGATTGCAATGTCCTTTTTTTTTTTTTTTTTTTTTTAGTGAGAGAGCGAGAACGCATGCACAAGTTGGGGGGGGGGGCAGAGGGAAAGAGAATCTTAAGCCAGCTCCACACTCAGCAGAGAGCCCAACGTGGGGCTCGATCTCACAACCCTGAGATCATGACCTGAGCAGAAATCAAGAGTCAGACGCTTAACCAACTCAGTTACCCAGGCACCCCAGCAATGTTCATTTTAACCCAAGTATTGAGAACAGACTTATGACCAGTGGCATTTTCTAGATAACACAGGTATAAATCTTCTTGGCTGCTTTAGTCAATAAGTCAGTAGAACTCTGTTTTTACTATGCAGAATGTGTATTATTTAAGTGGTTTACCTAAGCCTCTTTGAACCCTTTGTAAAGGTGCAAGCTCTGGACCCTTTGTGAAGGTGCAAGCCTGATGGAAAAAGCCCAGGCTTTACGGCAATATACACAGGAGTGCAGTTCTGACCCTTACCAACCTGGAGCTCTTTGAGGTCTCAGTGATGAAGTATATGTAGGGGAGAGTGATGACCAATTCAATGTTAAGTTTACCACCTTTTTTAGAATAGTCATAGACACCAAAATATCAGAGTCCTCAATGATAATCTTGATTTCTTACATGCTCATAACACTTTATAATGATAGAGCACATTCGCAGAGTGACGGAGGAGACTAATCCACATATCTGTAGTACCTAGCACAGTGCCTGGCACATAGTAAGTGCTCAGAAATGTTAACTTTCCCTCATCGTCTACCGACGCTAGTGTTCAATATGTGATAGATAGTCAATAAATCCTTATTGGGGTGACGGACATAAAATAGGGAAAGTGGAGATGATTCATTTTATTTATCAATAATGCTCAAAATGATCATGTGCCTGAATACTTGAAATAAACACAAATGCCTGTTTTTTTCTGAAGGCCAAAATACTGGAGAAAAGACATTAATATACTCACTGATTAAGTGTCAAGGCTGGTGGCATGAATGCGGAGGCTCGCTCTGGCTCCTCAAATCCAAGTAGGTGCTGAGACTTCAGAGACACTGACAGGTGACTGTGACTGCTTTTTACACAGAATGACATAGCCAGAATGTCCATTTTTGTATAGGTAGGTTGAAGCAATATAATTGACTGTAAATCATCAATTATCCTTTTTGCATATTCTTCTTCCTGAATCTCATACAAATAGTGAAACAAGTCTATTGGCTCCATCTGTAACCGAGAAGATTTATCCTTTATTTCTTTCTCAGTCCACTTCAGTAACTCCTCTCGAAGTCCTGGAGAGACT